AGAGAGAGAGAGAGAGAGAGAGAGAGAGAGAGAGAGAGAGAGAGAGAGAGAGAGAGAGAGAGAGAGAGAGAGAGAGAGAGAGAGAGTTTTACAGCCATGCACGCTATGAACTTGCAAATGGCAACGTTTTTCTTTAGAGATCACTGTATTCGAACGGCGCAAATGGAAGCGGCCTTGAACTCCCACGGGCGCGAACAAAAAGAAGGCGCTGCGTGCGAATGGAAACAAAGCGCCGCCACGGCCTTGAACTCCGACGGTCACAAAAGAAAAGGAAAAAGCGCTGCCGGGGCCTTGACGCCTCACGAGCGGGGATGAAACTACAACGCGCGTGGGCCTTGGAACTCGCGCCAGGACGGCCAAATAAAAAACAACAATTTCAGCGGGTTTCCCTTGGGCCCCCGCGCCTTGTGCCTCACTGTTTCCCAACACAGGGAGCTGGGGCTCGCGGAAGCGTCACACGAGACCTGCTGTTCCCTTTATAAAGAGTATATAGATAATTTATTGTCAACGTTCGAAAAATCACCACCATTCAGTGTCCAACTTACCGCTAAAAGTTATGTACATCTGGTCCTGGGCGTCAACGTTCGAAAAAAGCTATCTACATCTGGTCCTGGGCCATCATGACCTTCCGGACAGCTACTGGACTCTTCGAGGCACCGAAGTATCCATCCCTGACGGGCGGCTGACAAATTCCATTTATGCCACTTGCCAACCTACTAACCTCAGTATGGTCCCCTACTGCTAACATTCAACCCCTGCCCCACCCCTTCACTTCCCCTCGTCCTACCCCTGTTTCCTATTCTATCTGTGTCTGAGGCACAAAGACACAGCACGATCAACATCATTAGCACACGGATTCGAACTTTGACCCACAACTTCAGCAGGCAAGCGCACGACATACATACGTCATTGGCAGGTCACACACACGCTCAGAAAACACACCGAAACAGACTCGAAGACTCAAATTTGGACATCCCAGCAATCAGATAAAAATTGCCAGCATTGTCTCAGAAAGAAAGTGCAGCAGAGTTCTCGGACTGCAATTGTGCAGGTCATCACACTCCTGTTAAACCACTGGTACCTTTTCCCAGGAAACGTTAATAAGATTGAAAATGTGACATTCCAGGTTCTTCGGATGAACAGTCTGCTGCCAGATGAATGGCTGGCAGTGCCAGCCAAAAAAAAAAAAAAGAAGTTGCCATGCTGGCGCTTTGGCAAAGCTTGGCTAACAGAAAGCGGCTCGGAGGCAGTGGTTGTGTATTGCCTCTTTGAGCCCGATATGCACTTGTTATGTGTTTTCTGTGCCTGTTAGCTCGGCTGTCTTGCCTCTGGTGGTGTTGAAGGAGATGCTTGCTGGTCATTTTTGGACAAACCTCAGGCTCTCCAGTGTGGAATCTAGGTTGTTGGATGTTAATTGGATTTAAAAAAAAAAAAAATTAAATGGCTGGATGACAATGAATGTAGGATTTGCCTATGGTCTTGAGTCTTGACCGTACTTGCGCACCATAAGATAGATTTGAACTTTTGAAGTGGTGTATAACTAATCGAGTATTCAGTAACTCCCATCTGTTCAGTAGTCAAAATATTTCCGGCAGCTGGTTGGTGGGAACGAGAAGTATGGGAATTGTTTGGTGTGTATTTTTCCAAACACTATCTTGGAGCAGATGCCACAGTGCAAACGCATGACGCACACCATGTGCGCGCACAGCTAAGGTGCAACAAAAAGAACCAGTTCAAAAAAACGTGTGATGTAGAACGTTATCTCGAGGAACGTTTGGACAAGAGCAGTTCTTTATTTGTCGTGGACTGCAGATACCGGTAGTCTTTCTGCTCCGCACAGTGCACAGCATATATGCAGTGCACCGCACATGTATGCACACAAGTATGGTCTTGTGAAAGCAGGAATTCAGCAAGCTATGACATTGTGATTTTCTTCAAAAACTTATCTTTTGTGCATTCCAGGTACTTGACGTACGGCGAGTCCGAGTGGAAAGCATTGACTGAGAAGTGCCTGGCAAAGATGAATCTGTACCATGAAGAAACAAGGTATGAACCATGCCAGATCTGAAGCACAGATATATGTGTGCATTTTTATTTTATGTTTTCTGAAAAGTGTGAGGAAAGAGCCCTCAAGGGACCCTATCAGACATCACATGTTCTGGGCCAAGGCCCCCAGCAAGCCGAGTGCCCGCCCCAAGTGAAGGCGGGCGTGAATATTCGTCAAAATTCAAAATTTGACATTTCCATATGTGGGTATTCGGGCTCTCGCAGCACGCCAGTTGGTTGGGTAGACGCGTGAGCCTCACTAAGCTGCGTCGTACGGTTGGCCCAGGCCTTGACAGTTGCGCCTGGGCACATACAGACAAAGCAGGGCCGATACATTGGGAAACAGGCCATCGGCCTTTGGAAAAGTACTACTGCCCACGTACCTACCTGGGAGCCGTGCACAGATGCAGCAAACAGCCCATGTCCGGAGACTCAGGCCGTGCCCAACTGAAAAGGGCCCAGGCCCTGAACTGTAGTCTCGGCCCTGGGCGCAGGGTCTGAGGCCCAACCGGAAGCTACTGGAAGCTTCCAGCCAGGCCATGCGCAGCATCCAGGAGGCTGCCACTTCCATAAAAGAAGTGAGGCAGCCCAGGCCAGGCATTCTGGCCAGTGCAGGCAATGTGGAAGTGCGGCTGCGCTATCGCTTGATGCTGCGCTGCTGCCAAGGGCGCTGAAGGGGCGCGTACTGGTGAAGTGGGGGGCTGCAGGGCAGTGGGACGCAGGCGGGGCTGCTGGGCGCCAGGGGGTACAGCGGGKGATCTGGTGGTCTTTAGGGAAGGAGGCGCAGTGTGGGGTAATCAAGGTCTGATTGAGGGTGGCGAGATACGTACCTGGTGCATGAAGAGAGGTTGGCTATGGAGTTGACAGTCATGTACATTGGTCTTCGAGAGTCGAAGTGAGCCTGTTGCGTGAACCAGCTGTAGGTAGGACAGTCGGGCAGAGTAGATTGGGCGCTGGGCGACAGACAGAGAGGAGCGGCTTTGGATACTGTGTTGGTGTGGCCTACGGGCTTGAACATTGGCTCATTACTTCATTGTATTGCTCTATATGGATGGTTTCTCGGTGCATTTGTACTCTCTGCTTGGATACGACTACCTGGACATCTGTGTGATTTCGCAACATTGGTTTTCTGTATATCGTTCACACATATTCCGTGCAAAACTCGAGTAGTGGTGTGTGCTTTTCCCACGGACGAATAGGGTAACGTTCACACCCCGTTCCTCTTTTGAGCTTGACAGGCTGTGGGGCGATGCTGCATGCCAAAAGCAAGTTGAGTCTGTCTCTGTCGGCTTCTTTCCCCCCCTAAGGACAACACTTTGGATCCGTCATAAATTCAGCTAACACTTGGCTTATATGGAATATATGCCTGAAGTCCGTTTTTAACTTTTATTCCCCTTCTTTTAATGCATTTGGTGTGTAACGCTGTGTGCCATAGGGCCTCGTTGCACTACTCTCGAAATGTGCAAAACGAGAGTGAATCTTCCGCTAGAATATGGAAAGATACACCGCCACTATTTTTGTCTTTTGTGCATGTCGAGAGTAGTGCAACGAGGCCCATACTCAGCATTGGGCATTCAAACCTGCGAACACTATTTTCATTCGTTGCGCCATGTGTACTACAAAAGCATGCGTGCTGCACATGATCTGATGATTCTTATCATTTTTGGAAATAATTCTAGAACTAGGGAAACCGTGTTATTTATGGGAGGATGGCTAGGGGTGGAGCCAACATCAGAAGGGAAGCGCTAACTTCCCTTTCGAATTTTAATCATGCGAACCGATCGAGGGAGGAGGAGAGTACTCTGTCGAGTCTGGTCGGAGGTGGAATCAAAGGTCTCAAGCTGTGGAGGTTTATTCGTCTTCCTCCGCTTTTCATGGATGTGGAAGGGAACTCGAGTGTCCTGCATGCCTGGGCAGAAAATGAACAAAGGACTTGAAAGGAGCATATGCCTGCATGGTTTTATTTTTTGTTTTTCCTTACAAAAATCAAGCGACTCTGTGCTAGCTGCAGCAGAGGAATAATGTTACATCTTTCGATTCACACGGGTCCTACCGGACCCGACTTAGGGGCGGAGGGACACACCAGGGCCTAAAGGCCCGACCTTTGAGGGTTACAGGCGCTAAAGGCCTGATTTTGGACAGCCACCCATCGGGTAGGCCCAAACGACACTTCGTTTGGGCCTGGCGGCGCTCTTAAAGCTGCCGCCCGCCGATTGAGGCTGAACCGTCCATCTGGACGGTTCAGGGTCTGGCCTGGCCTCGCAGCATTGAGGCCAGACCAATGCCTACCGGTATAAGTACCGGTACCTGCCTCAGTTGAGGCATCGACCTACCAGCATTGTACCGGTACGGTATGGTCAGCGCCAGAGCGCTGTTTGATGCGCTAAACTTAGCGCAGGGGCTGGAGCAGGAGCGCAGCATTGCGCAGCATAGCGCAGCAGCGTGCGGAGCAGCAGCGGGCGACTGAGTTACACGGTGGTTCTCACCGCCTGAGGTACCGGGAGCTTGGAGGATCTCTCCTCCTCTCCTTTGCCAGTCCCCTCTCTCTCTCTCTCCTCTTCTTCTCCTTCTTCTTCTTCTTCTTCTTCTTCTTCTTCTTCAGATTGGAGACTATCCAGTTGGACAGNCTAAAGGCCTGATTTTGGACAGCCACCCATCGGGTAGGCCCAAACGACACTTCGTTTGGGCCTGGCGGCGCTCTTAAAGCTGCCGCCCGCCGATTGAGGCTGAACCGTCCATCTGGACGGTTCAGGGTCTGGCCTGGCCTCGCAGCATTGAGGCCAGACCAATGCCTACCGGTATAAGTACCGGTACCTGCCTCAGTTGAGGCATCGACCTACCAGCATTGTACCGGTACGGTATGGTCAGCGCCAGAGCGCTGTTTGATGCGCTAAACTTAGCGCAGGGGCTGGAGCAGGAGCGCAGCATTGCGCAGCATAGCGCAGCAGCGTGCGGAGCAGCAGCGGGCGACTGAGTTACACGGTGGTTCTCACCGCCTGAGGTACCGGGAGCTTGGAGGATCTCTCCTCCTCTCCTTTGCCAGTCCCCTCTCTCTCTCTCTCCTCTTCTTCTCCTTCTTCTTCTTCTTCTTCTTCTTCTTCTTCTTCAGATTGGAGACTATCCAGTTGGACAGAGATCAGGGTTGGATTTCGGTGATACGAGACTGTGGTACTTACCTGATTGGAGACTTGGAGATTGTTGAGGTTGATACTCGGCTGCATCACAGTTGGACGCCGGTTACATCTGGACTCGGTTATCTCCGACATTGGTGACCTTTGGTCCTCGACATTTTGATCTTGTTATATGACATTCTGGACTACTATTTCGGAGACCTACCGGACTCTATCTTGTGACCTATCGGTGTGATCTACCTCCTACCTCCTTCGGTTCTCCTCCCACCTTTCATCTGTGTATGTGTGTACGGGATCTGGGTATCGTCTGTGAACAACCCAGACCCCACCATCTCATGATTGTATGTGTGTGGAGTGATGCCATGTAGGTCAGTCTATGTGAGTCAGTCTATGTGAGTCAGTTCGTTATCAGACTTCCGCTGCATAAATGCTCATCCTATATTGGTTGATCTTTGGTTCTGCCCATACTCATTGAAGTATGTAACAAATAAGCATTATGCAAAGGACACAAGACAGGAACGAACATTGAGGGGTGATGCAATGGGCATTTATGGAATTCAGTGGGTTGCATCAACAAAAATGGAAATAGTGTCATTAGTTTCTTGCAGCAGGAGGGATATGCATTATGTACAGGATGTGAACCAGGGACATCCAAGGGCAAGGTGCATGGAGGGTGTGTACATGTTTATTTTTATCATATGTATTATGTCTATTTCTCCTTAGAGGCAGCTCCCCACTGGTTTGATATTTCATGCCAGGAAATCATATATCTGGCTGACTATCAAGGCCAGGTTCATTCTTTCCAAGTACAAGCATATCACCAATCGGGCCTTCTCCTTACTGTCACTCCGCATTTTTTTGCAGGTCGTCGTGCTCCATTTTTTCCTTCTTCGAAACCACCACCTCCCCGAGGAAAACTCGAGAATCCAAAGCTCGGCAGTCCGGGTTCTTCGAATGGACAGTGCTACTGGACCAAAATGGCTAGTCGTGCCAGCCAAAAGGAAAAGATAGCGCCACCTCAGCAAAAAGAGGCTCGAAGGTGGTGGTGGTGTAGTGGACAGGCCCTCAGTATTGTATAGTGTCGGACATGATTCAGAAAAAGCTTGTGACCTGTTTATCGTCAGTTTGACACACCGTTCAGCCGTCAGACAAGTATTGCTGGTCTCCAGTTGTTGCAAAGCGATGCTCTCCGATTGTCTTCGGCGGGAGGATTGCGCTTTATTGTTTGTGTGACTTGTGTGCAACATGACTAGAACCCGTGATCTGTTTGAGGCCTGTACCATTCATCCGCGAGAGACGTGTATCAGAGTTCGCAACCAGGATTTTTAGGAATAACTGTAACTAAACTAACCACACACTTTTCGAAAACCAATTAACCGTAACCACTGTATACCAGGCCTACCGCACCTTTACCTACCTCCAACTGATCCAAAAAAAAAAATGGGTAACTGTACCCGCCCATACCTGAACCTCTGCAGACTGTAACTGCTCGTACCCGCCCTTTTTTTTTTTTAGGCCTACCGCACCTTTACCTACCTCCAACTGATCCAAAAAAAAAAATGGGTAACTGTACCCGCCCATACCTGAACCTCTGCAGACTGTAACTGCTCGTACCCGCCC